ATAATCATAGAGAGGAGCTATGTGTCCCTGAATGCTTTTGTCAAGCCTTTATGTCCGCTTATACAGTACCGATGTACAGGATAAGTATGTTAGGAAAATATAAAAGGATATTAACAAGAGACAATGAAATTAAATGAAAAAAAGTCTAAAAACACTCTTCTCACCTTAAAACAATGTGCACCTAACAAAGTGATTGTAATCTCCATCACAGACAATCTCCATCAAAGTTCTTACCATTTTAAAGTGTATGCCACGTCAAGAAACACTTGTATTACTTAGCTTACATCACAAAATTGTTTTTAGTGATATAATGTACAAATATGCTACTAATACTACTATACTAATACAACTACAGCTGCTGTAAATAAACAGGATAGGAATTGGCAAGCAAATTTTGCCAGTGATCACAGTACCTGGACGGGGTTCTGTTCATTTTCCTTTGTTTTTATTTCTTTGTAAACTCCAGGTAGCTGGCCATTGGCTGGAGATTGAATGTGTCGGGGCCCAAGGCTGACTGAGCCACCGCTTACATCCTGGTTCCAACTGGACAGGCTGAAATGTACTGACTTTTGTATAGTATTTTTCTCTCTCTTATTTTCTTTACTAAATGTACCTGTATATTGGGCGACCGTGGCTCAGGGGGTTGGGAAGCGTATCTGTAACCGGAAGGTCGCCGGTTCGATCCCCGGGCTCTCTGTCCTGGTCGTTGTGTCCTTGGGCAAGACACTTTACCCTACTTGCCTACTGGTGTTGGCCAGAGGGGCCGATGGCGCGATATGGCAGCCTCGCTTCTGTCAGTCTGCCCCAGGGCAGCTGTGGCTACAACGTAGCTGCCTCCACCAGTGTGTGAGAGTGAATGAATAGTGGCATTGTAAAGCGCTTTGGGTGCCTTGAAAAGCGCTATATAAATCCAATCCATTATTATTATTTACTTGTTTGAAATAAATTAACAAACAAACAAGCAAACAAACTGGACCATGCTTGTTGTTGTTGTGTAATAAAGTAGAAGAGCTAGTTAATTATTTTAATTATTATCTTCCTTTAAAAGAACAGACCTGGTATTTATACAGGTGGAAGTCTTTTTCTTTTAATAACTTTTCTTCTGTTTAGACCAGAAATGCAGGCAAGAGGCTATATTTAGGATTTGTTTGTTTTGTTTTTTTTGTCTGTGTCCCCCTGAAGTTTTCAACCTTGAGAGATAATTAAACTTGCTTGTTTGTGACTAGAAACCACACTGTAGGAGTGGAAATGAAAGGAAATGAGCCACTGAAACATGTTTCTTTGATCAGGTTAAAAAACAAAAATGGTGTAAATGGCTTTAAGCTGCTTCAGTCACATTGTGGATATACCTAAACCTGCCTACTTTCAGAACTTACAAAACAGCAAGAATAAAAACACAAAACTAGAAAAAAGACATTAAAAAAATATCTCCATTGTGAAATAAACAAATGAATGACTCTGGCATGCTGACTTGCTGTCCAACTTAGGTAAAAAAAAGAAGTCAACACATTATAGCATTCAAATATACAGGGAGTGCAGAATTATTAGGCAAATGAGTATTTTGTCCACATCATCCTCTTCATGCATGTTGTCTTACTCCAAGCTGTATAGGCTCGAAAGCCTACTACCAATTAAGCATATTAGGTGATGTGCATCTCTGAATGAGAAGGGGTGTGGTCTAATGACATCAACACCCTATATCAGGTGTGCATAATTATTAGGCAACGTCCTTTCCTTTGGCAAAATGGGTCAAAAGAAGGACTTGACAGGCTCAGAAAAGTCAAAAATAGTGAGATATCTTGCAGAGGGATGCAGCAGTCTCAAAATTGCAAAGCTTCTGAAGCGTGATCATCGAACAATCAAGCGTTTCATTCAAAATAGTCAACAGGGTCGCAAGAAGCGTGTGGAAAAACCAAGGCGCAAAATAACTGCCCATGAACTGAGAAAAGTCAAGCGTGCAGCTGCCAAGATGCCACTTGCCACCAGTTTGGCCATATTTCAGAGCTGCAACATCACTGGAGTGCCCAAAAGCACAAGGTGTGCAATACTCAGAGACATGGCCAAGGTAAGAAAGGCTGAAAGACGACCACCACTGAACAAGACACACAAGCTGAAACGTCAAGACTGGGCCAAGAAATATCTCAAGACTGTTTTTCTAAGGTTTTATGGACTGATGAAATGAGAGTGAGTCTTGATGGGCCAGATGGATGGGCCCGTGGCTGGATTGGTAAAGGGCAGAGAGCTCCAGTCCGACTCAGACGCCAGCAAGGTGGAGGTGGAGTACTGGTTTGGGCTGGTATCATCAAAGATGAGCTTGTGGGGCCTTTTCGGGTTGAGGATGGAGTCAAGCTCAACTCCCAGTCCTACTGCCAGTTTCTGGAAGACACCTTCTTCAAGCAGTGGTACAGGAAGAAGTCTGCATCCTTCAAGAAAAACATGATTTTCATGCAGGACAATGCTCCATCACACGCGTCCAAGTACTCCACAGCGTGGCTGGCAAGAAAGGGTATAAAAGAAGAAAAACTAATGACATGGCCTCCTTGTTCACCTGATCTGAACCCCATTGAGAACCTGTGGTCCATCATCAAATGTGAGATTTACAAGGAGGGAAAACAGTACACCTCTCTGAACAGTGTCTGGGAGGCTGTGGTTGCTGCTGCACGCAATGTTGATGGTGAACAGATCAAAACACTGACAGAATCCATGGATGGCAGGCTTTTGAGTGTCCTTGCAAAGAAAGGTGGCTATATTGGTCGCTGATTTGTTTTTGTTTTGTTTTTGAATGTCAGAAATGTATATTTGTGAATGTGGAGATGTTATATTGGTTTCACTGGTAAAAATAAATAATTGAAATGGGTATATATTTGTTTTTTGTTAAGTTGCCTAATAATTATGCACAGTAATAGTCACCTGCACACACAGATATCCCCCTAAAATAGCTAAAACTAAAAACAAACTAAAAACTACTTCCAAAAACATTCAGCTTTGATATTAATGAGTTTTTTGGGTTCATTGAGAACATGGTTGTTGTTCAATAATAAAATTATTCCTCAAAAATACAACTTGCCTAATAATTCTGCACTCCCTGTATACACGAATTAATGTTGAGTAAGAAAATATTCTGCCAATTACTTTGCAACAACAACAAATTACTAGGGTCTTTGAGGGACAGTCTGACTTGTTTTCAAAAATAAACTGTGAGGTAGATTTGATAATAGGAGGGGAAAGTTTACATTAAGAGTAAGGACAGAGTCAATCCACAATGTCTTAAAAAAAATCACCTTAACTGCTGGAAGCTGGAAAATTAACATGAATGCCACTCTGTGAGTCCATCCTGAATTTGCAAGATATGTGAAGACAGTGCAAGGGGTACTGTGAGACCTGCATTCAAATGTGACACACAAGATTTCTGCACTAGCTTTTTAATACAATCAACAAATTTACTGATGAATTTTTAAATTATCTGAAAGCATAGTTCTATTCTAGTTCAGCTAGGCATCTTTAGTGTTAATGCTCATATTCAATTATGTTTTAAAGCTGTGTTACTGAAAAGAGCTTCAGAAATGAAGTTAAAAATGACATAAAGTGTAAGAGTAACAGTGCAATGTGCTCAGCATCACATATGGGAGAAGAAAAGTTGTAATCAGGAGTAACAGTCTGACAGCCTGTGTGCTCCCTGATTAAAACAATATTATTTGCTCTGTACACCATATTTGCACACATTTTGAAATCACATGCAATGCTTTTGAAGACCGTTTGAGGACTTCAACACAACTTTTTATATATATAAAACAAATCTGAATAACAGAACAGATTTTAACTATAGCTGACTTAAAATTGTGATTAATTATACTTTACAAAACTAGTGATTTATGACTCCCCCCGTTAATAAAAAAAAAACACAAAAAAAACCAAAACATAAAAGCGTAAATCCTAGTATCTGTTTGTGACTGCTGTTTAGTGCTGAGAAGGCTTAGCTGTATTTGTAAATTACAATGATGTAAGAAAAATTTGCGAAAAGAATTATCAGCAAAGCTGTAAGCTGCCAAACAAAACCACCAAGCTAAAAGAAAACAACACAAATAGAGAAACTGATATTAGAGTCACACTAGGAAAAACAGTAGTTGGACGCCACAGCACAACCAAAATTAGATCCTTCAGCTGTTCAAAATCCCACTAGGCTGGCCGACATGATAAATGATGGGCAGGGCTGTGAGTACTCAGACTGTGTTTTTTTGGAACACAATATGGACAAGATCTTGGAGAAGTTCATGGCTCTGCAATATGGATAACATCTTGAAGAAGAACAACGGGAATTGAGAAACCTGGTGACCAGTGATGGACATTAGACTACTGTAAAATTGGAAGCAGTTTGTTCGCACTAACCAAATCAACTACCATCTTCATCTCATGTGCCCCCCCCTGGCGCCAGCTGGATGCTCAAGGCAAAAGCTGACAGGAATAACAAATTCTCCTTTTTTTCTCTTCGTCTTTCCTCATGTTGTGCATTTTCCATTGTTATACCCAACCTGTCTTCCACATATGATGTTTGTGTAATGTATGTATGGTCGGAAGGGTAAGATGGCTCTGGCAAAGGTCGGCAGCCTTAACCCAATTTCCTTTGGGGTCAACCTTCAGGATCAATAAAGTTTTATTGAATTGAATTGAAAATGAATTGAATTGGTAATGCCACTGTGGTTATGTCTTTGTTATAGTCTACAGCCTTGAAAAATTCTCAACTGAAATGTAGAATTTGTATGTTTAAACACACAGGTAGACACAAATGCTTTGTGAGAACATGCCCTGTCTCAACATGGTATGACTCAAAGAATATTTAACTACTTGCAGCAATGAACCAGTACAGGTTTCTGTTTCCCCATTTTATCTTATCTTTGGCAAGCCAACAAGGTGCAGCGACTTGGTAAGATAAAGCTGGGTTCAAATATAAGGAATAGTTTTAGGAATTTTTATCTCAGACCATCCTCATAGTTTGTACTCACCCTGACAGCACACCTAGCACCAGGTTGAGCATGAAGAAAGAGCCGATGATGATGAGAGGGATGAAGTACAGCCAGTTCCACATGTTCCCTGAGGCATCATTGGCCTGAACACATAAACACATAGAAACAAAGACTAGAACTGTAAATACCACTCTGTGATTGTACTTATGGGATAAGACTGATTTATGCATGTTTTTATGTCTGCTCTGTGTGTATTTTTCTTCATTTCAAGCAATCTTCTAAAAATACTAACACCAACCTATATGTTTGTTCATCTGTTAGTATTGACAGGTTTCTATGGGCTCAAATTGTGGTCATAAATATTTTATACTTGTAAATCAAATGCGTAGTTGTGAACTGAGTTTTGTAACCCTGTAAACCAAAATGTGTGAAAGTTTTCCGTTTGCTTTGTATCTATAACCAGACCTCAATGAAAAGAATTTGTAACTCGTGTTCCCAGTGAAGAAGTAGGAGCCTACCAGTCAAAAGTTTTAGAACATCCCAATTTTTCCAAGTCCCTTGAATAGGTTGACAAAGGTAAGTGGTGAACTGCCAGAGGTCAAAAAAAAGAAAGAAAAGGTAAGCTCACCCAAAACTGAAAAATAATGTACATTTCAAATTATACAAAAATGCTTTTTTTCCCCAACACAACACAAATTGGGTTAACAATTTAGAATTGTTCTGCAGCAATGGAGGTTGATCAAGCTGTGAATGCTGGCTCTAATAATTCCTACAGGTGTTCCAACTTTTCTGGATTACTTACAACCTGTCTGCATAAAAGTGTTGCATCAGTTGAACAGTATTGTAGGGCTGCACAATTAATCATTAGAAAATCGCAATCTCAATTCATACTTATGTGTGATCACATTTCTAAATGACAACAATAACAAAAAAAAAGAAAAGTGACGATTGTACGGCATTTTGATCCGGGACATAATCTGCAAGAAAACAAGCGCTCACTCTTCCTGCTCAACAAATGACAAGGGCGGAGCCTTATACCACGTGATTCAGAAGCCAGCTGGCAGGAAAAAACAACGGAGAGCACGTGAGAGAAACTGCCTGAGGGGAGAAAACACAGTGAGCGCAGAGGAAAAGCTCACTGATGGCAGTGAGAATGAAAACCCAACTGTAAAATTAATTCCAAGAAAAGGTTCTCATTCCCCTGTGTGGAAGTTTTTTGGTTTTATAGAAGACAATGAGAGTCAAAATTATATCATTTGCAAGCTGTGTTTTGCCATAGTAGCAGCACCACAAGCTAACACTACGAATTTGTATAACCACCTTAAATGTCACCATAAAGTGCAATATGACAAAGCTGTAAAGGCCAAGAAAGTGACAGGAGAAAATCCGTCCCAGTCAACCACCCAAACATCAATAATGGGAACCTTATACAGCGCTTCCCCATACCCGTTGAACTCCCGCAGGCACAAAGAAATTACGGAAGCTATCACTTATCACCTGGCTAAAGATATGGCTCCCATCAACACTGTGCAAAACGAGGGATTTAGGAAAATGCTACACAGTGCCGTCCTGCAACTATTTTTCAAATGTTGCACTACCTGGTCTATACACGCAGTGTCGAGCAACGGTGGAGACGGAATTACAAGCAGTACAACATTTTGAAAAAAAATAAAGCCTCCGGAACGATCTCTACCGCCATCGGAGCCATTTTCTGGTGAGTTCCACAAGTGTGCTGGTTTCCTAACACAGATCACGTTGCCTTTTAGGCAGCTGCGGCAGAATTATGAAAGTGATGGAGCAAAAATTGCCTTTTTTGTTCAGTTACTCCGCGGTCAAGCCTTAAACTGGGCTCAAGCAGTGCTACAAACCGACCAGGAGATTGCTTATGCTGAATTTCTCTCAAAGTTTATAAGTGTGTTTGAAAGGGGCACCGGAGCAGAAGCAGCGGGTCACTGTTTGCTGAACTTAAAACAAGGAAGACGGTGTATGGCGGACTTCTCTGAGGAGTTTTGGACACTGGCTGAGGAGACTGGATGGGGGCAGCCCACGTTGATAAGTACTTTATTAAACTGTCATGGTCCTGGGTCATTTTGACCCAGTGTTCTTAGTTTTCCTGTAGTTTTGTATTTTGTTCCTTATGTCCATTGGATTGTTTGGTTTGGTATTTGGATTCCCCCTGTGTCCATGCTTTTATTGTGGTGTTTGTTCTGGTACCGTGTTCCCGTCCTTTGTGTTCTGTGTTCTCGTCATCCCCTCGTATTCATCCTTGTTCTCTGCCTCTCTCTCTGCCTCTCTCTCTCTGTGCTCATCTCTGTGTACTGTGTTGTGTTTAAGGTCCACATCTTGGTGTCAGTATTTTCAGTTTCGTGTCCTCCCTGCTCGGTCATGAGTAATTGTCTTCAGCTGTGTTCCCCGTGTGTTCCCACTTCCCTCGTTACCTTCTTGTATTTATGTCAGAGTGTCCCTTTGTTCTGTGTTG